AAGTTGCGCAAGCCGTTGAGTGAGAGAGTGTAATACGCTGGCATATCATAATTCGGTCGCGCATGCCAGACATGCCGACTCAGCACTTTGGCTGCCCATTGCATTCTTGTGTGGGTTAACAAACTCCGCACTTGAAATGCTGGCAACATTTGGTTTTTAGGGAACTGCTACTTTGTATTTATTTAATATATAAAGGGTACAGTGGGTACCCGATATGTGAGCATATTACAGGGATTAGTGCGAAAATTTCTTTTTCTCGCACCTAAAGCTCTGCCTACGAGTTTAAAAAGTTTATTTCAAAAGTAAAAGTACGTAGAAAAATGGAAAATATTGGCGCAGACGACTACACAGCAGCTGAGCCACGGAATTGGCTTGAAGAGCTTGGTATGGAGAGGAGCGGCAATAAGGGAACGCTCGCCGCGCGTCTTAATGGCGTGCCCCCCGAAGCCCGTGGAGTATGCCCAAAATTAGACCCCAAAGAGAACTCCGAAACTGAAGCTGGATCCGAGGAATTAGGTACAGACGACGGAATCGTCGCTGATTGCCCAAAATATCAGCACTTCTCAGAACCACGTGGATGTTCCAGAAATTTCGTCAGAATTGGAGTCGCTGAAGCGTCAGTTGGAATTGCTCCAATTGGAAAACGAGTTGCTGAAGTTGGAAGTGTCGCGGCGTCAGCCATTAAATAGTGTGACCGCCGCTTCGGACAACGAAATACCAAAGGACAACGTTGCCTCATCAAAAAAAGACAATGTTGCCACATCGGATTTCGGAAACGTCATGGAAAATACGACGCTTTCGAACAACAACTCTTTGCTAGCTATGGGCAAGGAAATGCTTCCAATCTTTGACGGCGCGGATAGCAGCAACATGCCAGTCAACACATGGATTGCACAGCTCAACGCTATAACTAAAATTTATAAGCTCAGCGACAACGTAATCCGGATGCTAGTGATGTCAAAGTTGAAGGATCGTGCCCAGGTTTGGTTGCACTCTGAGGAGAATCTGCTGACCTTGCCAGCTCCGGAGCTTCTAACTCAGCTTGCAAACGTTTTTCATTGCAAAGAAAGTAAGACAATGTCTCGCCGTAAGTTCCAAGAGCGCAAGTGGATATACACTGAAGATTTTTCGACATGCTTCAATGACAAAACACGGCTATCTTCTCACATTCGGATGGACGACGAAGAACTGATCGACAACATCATTGAAGGAATTCCGGATACTCTTGCGACAACAGGCACACATGCACTGCTTCAACTCCTCTTCGCAACTGTTGCAGGCATTTGCCAAAGTCGTTTTGCGAAAACCACCATCGTTTGGGCCTGGACGCCCCAAAGTAGCTGCTGAAAATGGACCTGGTCAGATGTTTAACAAAAGATGCTTCAACTGTAACTCCGTTGGACACTTCGCGGCCGACTGCCGCAAACCTAAGCGCGAATTCGGTGCTTGCTACGCCTGTGGAAGTCTGGAGCACCTGGTGTCCCAATGTACCGAGAAGAAAAACCCAAAAAGCAACGAATATGTAAGATCATTTAAAATTTACTCTAGTTCACAGCCTAATCAATGCTTGCTTGTAGAATGCCTGATCGATTCTGGGAGTCCAATTAGTTTTATCAAAATATCTTGCGTCGAAAGCTTGTTGAAGAGAAAAAATATAAATATTAATGGAAATATTGATAGAAATTACTTTGGCTTAAATAACAGTCCTTTAGATGTACGAGGAAAAATATCATGTTTTGTTTTGATGAATAATGAAAAATTAAATTTTGAATTACTAATTGTGGCGAACAAATCGATGGCATATAATGCTGTGTTGGGAAGAGATTTTATGAACGTATGTAAATTTAAGATTGTTAGGGAAAATGATCGCTCAAATGATAGGAAGTTTAAAATTGATCGCTCAAATGATAGACATTCGGAAAATGATCGTGCAAATTATAGTAAATCAAAAATGGATCGGTCAAATAATAAAAAGTTAAGTATTGATTGCTCAAATGATAGTAAAACTAAAAGAGATAGTATTAAGAATGATCGCGAACATGATAGAGGTTTAGAGGTTTACAACGAACGAAAGGTTTATGAAAAGTGATTATGATGACAGTATTGAAAATGATTGTGATAATTATGACTGTGTTGGAAATGTTTGCTGGACTAATGGAAATGTAAAAACAGATTGCAATGTTGAAAATTATCGGACTATGAATAGAATTGAAGATGAAAGATTAGTTGACACAAATGAGTTTGAGAAATTAGGATGTCAAAAGAGCGAGTCAGAAATATTGTCGATTGAATATCCCGATCTAGCCGAATGTAGTCAATTAAACATAAGTGATAGGAGTGATCTCAAGTTCAGAAAAAAACTGATTGACATTTTTGACAAATTTTATAAGAAAGCAAAACGTCCGGATATCCCTTTAGTTAAATGGAAAATGAAGCTGAATTTTGAAAATACGAAACCATTTAATTACCCTCCAAGACGTTTGTCATACGCAAAAAAAAGGTCAGGTTCAGAATTTGTTAGATGAATATATTAAAAACGGTATCATTCGTGTCAGTGAGTCGGAATATGCTTCACCTATAGTGCTAGTTAAGAAAAAGTCTGGAGAATTAAGAATGTGCGTAGATTATCGAACCCTTAACAAGAACATGCTTAAAGACAATTACCCCACCCCTTTAATAGACGATCTTATTGAAAAACTTTCCGAAAAAGTAATTTTTACCAAGTAAGATCTTAAAAATGGAATCTTTCATGTACATATGCACGAGGATTCAATTAAGTTTACCGCCTTTACAACTCCGATTGGACAATTTGAAAAGCTTAGAATGCCGTTAGAATCCCCTATTTTAGCTTTGTATAATCCAACAGACCCTACAGAACTTCACTGTGACGCTAGCGCCCTAGGATTCGGTTCGACTCTAATGCAAAGAAAGAAAGATAACAAGTTTCATCCGGTATTCTATTTCTCTAAACGCACGACCGATGTAGAAGCGAAATACCATAGTTTCGAACTTGAAACGCTCGCTGTGGTTTACTCCTTACAACGCTTTAGGATTTATCTTCAAGGAATAGAATTTAAAATAGTCACAGACTGTAGTGCTTTCACCCTTGCACTAAATAAGAAAGAACTTAGCCCAAGAATTGCAAGGTGGGCACTATTCCTTCAGGATTTCGAGTACAGTTTAGAGCATCGATTCGAATTCATTTGAGGAGAACCTGATTATTTGCCAAAGCAGAGACATTAAAATCAAAAGCATTTTGGAAAAGTTACAACAGACAGAACTCAAGGATTATGAAATGCGGAATGGAATAGTCTACCGAAAGAAAGATAAGGACTCTCTTTTATTTTATGTGCCAAACGAAATGGAAAGTCACGTGCTATTTAATTATCATAATCAGTTAGGACACGTTGGTATAGACAAGATGGTAGAAATTATTTCAAAAAGTTACTGGTTTCCCAAAGTTAAAGGAAAATGCAAGCAACACATTAGTAATTGCTTAAAATTATTCAGAAAAGTCTGGAAAAGAAGATGGTTTTCTGCACAACATTCCAAAGGTAACAATCCCTTTTGACGTTATACACATTGACCACTATGGTCCTCTAGATAAGAGTAGGTCCAACAAACAGTCATTATAGACGCGTTTACAAAGTTCGTCAGACTTTATCCTGCAAAAACTACAAAATCCAGAGAAGCAATATTAGCATTAAAAGACTATTTTCGATCCTATAGTAGGCCAAGATGTGTGATATCAGATCGAGGAACATGTTTTACATCCAAAGAATTTCAAGACTTTCTAGAGGAAAATGATGTTAAACATATAAAAATAGCTACCGGGTCCCCACAGGCTAATGGTCAAGTAGAGCGGGTAAATCGAAGCAGGCCAAATGATTGCGAAACTGACTGAACCAGACAAAGGATTGCACTGGGACACAGTTGAGTACACCCTTAATAATACAATGCAAAGGTCAATCAATCAACATCCAAGCCAGGTCTTGTTCGGAGTGTCTCAAAAGGGTAAGGTTATAGATAGTTTAAAAGAGAGTTTAAAAGAGTTAAATAAAAATGAAAGTAGAGATTTAGAAAAAATTAGAGAAAAGGCTGGTAAAAGTATTGAAAAGTTGCAAAAATATAATAAGGTACGGACAGACTCCAAAAGAAAAGATCCTCTTAAACATGAAATCGACGATTTAGTTATGATAAAGAATTTCGACTCTCACATAGGCGTGTCTAAGAAGCTAATTCCAAAGTTTAAAGGTCCTTATAGAGTGACTAAAGTACTGCGTAATGATAGGTATGTCTTGGAGGATGTTGAAGTCTAGACTTCCTTATAAAGGAGTCTGGGCAGTAGCAAATATGCGTCCATGGATAAACACTGTAAATAGATAAGAGATCAGGAGCTCTCCGGTCAGGACGGCCGAATTGTAGCAAGCAGCCATATTTACATATACCTATTATTAAGCACTGCTTGATAAGCAGTTAACATTATTGTGTATCCCTTAAGTTAAGTCATCCTTTATGTCCCCCTTACTCCTTTAGGAATCACCATGTAAACCCATCTATAAGTATGTACGTCTCTCTCTTGCACATACGAGAGTGTGAAATAGGCTAAGCATTAACAGAGATGATAAAATAAAGATCACTTTTGCTGCGACCACTGAAGAAACAAGACCCTGATTGTATCACTACACTTTAAAACTGAGGGAATAGTTTACATAGAAACCGACAGGAGGACAGACGGACAGATGGGCAGACGGACAGACAGACAGACGGACAGACGGACAGACGGACACACGGACAGACAGACAGACGGACAGAGGTATAATACACGGGTATAATAATACACGTCATGTTCGTATCATATCTTGATTTTACTTTATGGATTCTGAGATGTCTCCTTCATTGTCTTGAAAACTTCTGACTGAAATTATAATACCCTCTGCAAGGGTATAAAAATATAATAAAAAATTCCCTCATTTTAAAACATTTTTTATTGTTTTCAGATACAACAGCAAATCAGAATCTTCCTAGTAAGTGGATTAATGGCCAAGACTACTATAGATTGGATGGAAAAACTCCTAAAAATATTCGTCATGAAATGATAAAAAGGTTTAATAGCGAAGCAAACAAACGGGCGAGGGTTTTTTTAATATCATCCAGAGCCGGCGGACAAGGCATAAATTTAATAGGCGCGAACAGGGTAATTATTCTGGATACCTCCTGGAACCCTTCAAATGATCAGCAAAATATTTTTCGAGTATTTCGATTGGGTCAGAAGAAAAACTGTTACATTTATCGCCTGATTGCAATGGTATGGTCAAAAATAGAAAATCCTGTATGTTATAAACTCTTATATTTTCTACAGGGCACTATGGAGGAAAAGGTTTACTCCCGATCCGTCACCAAGCAAGCAATGAGCTTCAGAGTTGTAGACGAACAGCAAATAGACCGGCATTACAATATGGCAGAGCTAGCCGAACTATACACGTAAAAAAATATTATAACATAATAGTTGATAAGCCGTAGGATATTGTTTGCTCTTGTTGTTTGCTTATCGTTTTTCTATACTGGACGAAAAGTTTTATGAGTTGGAGTCGGGTCAAATCGAAAAATTTTTATATCGGTAGTTTTTTTTGAAACTGTGCGGGGTCATATTAAAAGCTTGCGTCGGCTTGCATTTTGCTTGGTATAAAATTAAACTGTACCGGACTACGAACAATGATGATTGATCAAGAGTAGAATCATGAGAATTGCCAGGGCGGCAACCTCACTTTTGACCTATGGACGACGGTTACTGGAATCAACCAGGGCAACCTTATTTTGAACAAGCAACGAGAAAATCACTTTAAACAAGAAAGGAAGCTAGCTTCGGCAAGCCGAAGCTTATATACCCTTGCAGTCATCAAATATGTCGAACAAAATGCATAAAGGTTAAACAACATCGAAGCTAAGACGATTTTTCTATTCATTTTCCATATTTTCGACTATAGATCATATGGGAGCTGTAGATCCAAAAGGGGGTCTACTGCTAACGTGGCCCTGTGCCACAAGCAACTTCAGAGCAAAAATATCAATAATATAATTGAAGGCCAACTTGCGTAAGCGGACGGGACAGACAGTATAATTATAAATGCGTGTGCTTCGTTTCAGTTCTTTTCTCAAGTGATCGTTATAATTTCCAATATTTGTTCTTAAGCTAAGCGCAGGCATAATTGCGCGTGTATATGTAAGCATGCAAATCATAGATAACAACAAGATAATTGGAGAATGAGCGAATTTCAATATGCAAGAGAGATTCAAGTGAGAGTTAAAGAGCGTAATATTAGCTTAAGAGTAGTACTTCAGGTAATTCAGATCGAGCTTAATATAAGAGTACCTAAGTTAACTATAATTACATATATATCTAATTAGTAAAACTTCAAAATATAAAATGAAATGATTGAACAGGAGCTATATGATATAGTTGTCCGGTTTTGATCAAATTTAATTCGTAATTCAAGAGTCGTTAGAAAACTTTATATTCCAAAAACCATGCTTATCTAATAAAAACCAACGATGTTATAATTTTATTTCCGTTATTTCTATATAGATTTTTCGATCTTTCCTATGGCAGCTATAATATATTAATGTCCGATTTTTATGAAACTTTTTTCTCAATATAAGGGTTGTTAAAAAACTTGATATTTTAAAAAATCATGCTCGTGGGATAAAAAACAACGATGTTATAAATGTATTTCCATTAATTCTATATATATTTTTCGAACTCTCCTATGGCAGCTATATGATAGAGTTATCCGATTTTGATTAAATTTAATCCGAAATTCAATAGTAGTTAGAAAACGCTATTGTTGGCTGAAGCCAGTTTTTCGTTTTTTTTATTTTTTGAATTGTTAGAATAAGTATCGTTGAATTTGAAGTTTACTGTAAGTTAGTTTAGGGCGAAGGCGGGAGCGCAATAAAGCTTTTGTTCGCTCTCTGCGAGTTCGCTCCGTCTTCGCCAACCTTCGGTAAGCTAGGCTTAAGTATGATTGTGGAGAATAGATCATTCGTTGAAATTGAGTTCGATCGAGCGCACGCATTATTTTTCGTTTCGTTGTCGTTTTGCCAATAAATTTATTAATTAGCCACCCAAGTTTCGGTTTTTAATAATTAGAAAAACGCTTCTAATTTTTCATGGCGCCCCCGGGTGGACTAATTAATTAAATAAAAGGCAACAATTTTTTTTTAAAGTGACAGTGACACAAATAACAAACAATTGCAAGTGATTTTTTTTCTTGTGGTTTTTTTGCTATAAAAATTGCACAAAAATATAAAGTTCTTGTGAAGTACATACAAGTTGCCCGCGACGTGTGGTGTTTTTAATTATTAAAAAACAACAACAAATTCACTCGTGCCGGTCGCGAAATTTAATACCCTAATTCGACGTTTCTGCCACCGACGAGGGATGCCCTGCGATTGTTCAAGTTGCAAAAGGAAAGTGGCAGCAGGATTGAAAGATCCAAACGAAGAACCAAAGGTATTTGTGCAAAAAATTGAAAGCTGAGTTTTGACAAAAAACTAGAAATATTTGTTAATTGTCTAGTGCTGAAAAATTGCACCTCGCTTTCAATTCTTGGCACATATGTACAAAATAGTAGAGCTAGATTGCATGCAAAATAAAATTTAAACAATTTTAATAATTTCAAAGAGTAGCAAATATTACAGCCATTATATATATATAAATACCTAATATATTTACAAGTGCTAAATTGATATATACTATTTGAACCAATTTGGATGCAACTTTTGTTAAATTGTGTTAAATTATTGCAATCACTGTCGCCCCCCTTGTTTTTAATTATCGTTAAAACCTCGCAAGTTAATAGTTGGGAAGTTAATCTGAGCCGTTATACACAAATAAATAAGCCCTTATATACAAGCAGCTGCAGCGGTAAACTTTTTTCGTTTTCGCTTTCGCTTGGTCGCCGCTAGCAGCGTTGTTGTTGTTGTTGGGTTCTTGTCATTTGGGCGCGCTACAGGTTAACGGACCGTCAAGTGACGCGCTACCCCGCATTCGGTTGGGTATATTGTTTTTCGCCGTCGTTTGCACCCACTATTAATTTTGATACTTCGTGTCTCGATATTCAATTTAAAAATTATTTTCGTTGTTTCTCGCCTCTAAATAATTATTTAATAATAATAATTATTTAATAATTTTTTTTCGAACAAATTTAATATTTTATAAATTATTATTTTTTTTGTGGTTTAATTCGAAAATTAATTTCATTTAAATTTTTCACACTTGGTCCTTTAATAATTTACTTTAATAAATTTGGTTTTTGATAATTTAATTCAAAAATGAGCCAAGAAAAGCCAAAAAGTAACCTGCTTGAAGACTTGAAAGCCAAGTTACAAAATCGAGTAAAAAGCATTCGCCGATTAAGTGATCGACTCGATTCTGGCGCGATCGCGATTAAAGAAGAAGAATTAAAATGTAGATTAGATACGTTAAACGCTGCAATTAATAAGGCAAATCTATTGCAAGAAGAGATAGAAGATATAGATGATGGCGATGAATTTAGAGATGAATTGGAGGAGCTATCAATTGTTACCAAGGCAAAATTAATGTCGCTTTTGTCGGCCTTGAAGACAGCAAGCGATCCAAAAATTTCCGGATCAGCTTCTGTAGCCCCAACTCGAGCTCGACTTCCGAATTTGGCCTTGCCAAAGTTCAGCGGCAAATATTCGGAGTTTAAAAATTTCATCAGCCTTTTTGAAACTCTCGTTCATCAAGACGACAGCATTCCAGTTATCGAGAAATTTAACCACCTAATTTCGTGTCTCTCCGGTGAAGCCTTAGGGACTATTAAGGCTTATCAAGTCACCGCGAGCAATTATGAGAAGGCTATGGCCAGCCTTAAAAAAAGTCTACGATAACGAATGCTTGATTTTTATGAATAATATCTCAACATTGTTCACTCTTCCAAAAATTACGCACCAATCAGCGTCTTCCTTAAGAAGCCTTATCGATACCGTTTCATCAATTTATGGATCGTTGTTATCGATAGGAGATGATACAAAAATATCCAATGCAATGTTGATTTATCTCGTCTTGAACAGAGTAGACCCAGTGACTAAACAAAAATGGGAAGAACAGCTCGATTATGAAACTTTGCCGCTTTGGTCCGATTGTGAGAAGATGTTGAATCGCCGATATCAGCATTTATCTGCTGAGGAAACATCAAAACCAAAGCAAGATAAATTAATTCCGAGCAAACATAATCGAAGCTCGTTTTCGTGTTCTTCGACCAACACTAAGTCCGTGCAAAGTTGTAGCTATTGCAATGCTGGAGACCATGTCCTAGCGAACTGCAGTCCGTTTGGTCGGCTGTCAGTAATGCAAAGGTTCGATTTTGTTAAATCTGCGTCTTTGTGCATAAATTGTCTGCGAAAGGGTCATACGGTTTCCAAATGCAAGAGTAGTAAATGTCGAGTTTGTGGTCGCTCGCATCACGTTTTACTGCACAGGTATACCGTCTCCGAGAATAGTTTAGCGTTGCCACCACCCCAAGAGAGTCTGTCTCCCTCTAAAAGTCAGGATCAGCCTTCCACGTCACATGTTATGCATGCGACATCGTTGGACAGGGTGATTTTGGCCACGTCGATCGTAAGTGTCCGCACGAAAAGCGGTGAATACATTTTGGCTCGAGCCCTTCTTGACTCTGGGTCTCAAGCCAATTTCGTTACAGAAGACCTTGCTCGCCGCTTACAGATCCGTAAAGAGGAATCGTGTATCAACTTACTTGGTATTGGCGAATCCAATTCTCAAGTTAAGAAAAAGGTACACACAGTGGTGAAGTCGCGAATAAATGGTAGTGAATTTTCGTTCGATTTTTGGATTTTGAAATCGATATCCGGATATCATCCGGACCAGTCTGTGAATATCAGTGACTGGAAAATTCCAAAGAACGTACCATTAGCAGACCCCTATTTCTACAAGCCACAAAGAATAGATATGTTGATAGGAGCAGAATCATTTTTCGAGCTTTTAGCTGTTGGTCAAATTAAGCAAGGTCCTGACTATCCAACTCTTCAAAAGACCCTACTTGGATGGGTTGTTTCAGGCAGATACAAGGCGTCTGCCCCAAGAGATGTTGTGAATAGTTTCAGTTGTAGTGAAGAGCTATTAGTATCGATTGATAGCACACTACAAAAGTTTTGGTCACTGGAAGAAATGCCATCTATAAAGAAAATTCTATCACCTGAGCATAAGTTGTGTGAAGAACACTATAGAAAGACCACTCAGGTTTTGCCATCAGGTCGGTTTGAAGTTAGATTGCCGTTTAAATCTGATCCCACTGGATTGGGCAACTCATTCGAGGTTGCAAAAAGGAGATTTCTGTCGCTCGAAAGAAGGTTGTCGCGAGATCCTGAATTAAAGAAAATGTATCTCGAATTCATGGAAGAATACCTCGCGTTAGGTCATATGTCTCCTACAGACAATAGAG